TATGTGTGTGTGTGGATGGGGGGTGGTGTGTGTATGCATACATATATAAACACACGCACTATCCCATGTTGTAATAAATACCACACACACACCCCCTGTACACCAACTACACGCAGGTTATGGCGCGTCAGTGACTGGCATGAAGAGGCGTGTGTAGCTGATCTGTCCGAAACTAAGTCCACCCTGGCGACGTTCGCACGGCCCTCCTTTGCGCCAGACGGACAGTTTGTGTGTGTGCCACGGTGTTCCTCTGGGGGTTACCCCACGGCATTTGTCCTGCGCCGAGACCACTGGAATGAGGAACGGGACAAGATACCTTCGTTTGTGGGCCATATTGCGCCTGTTTCCTGCACCAAGTATGGAAATAACCGGGCTTGTGGGGGTTGGTTGGTTTATACGTATATACATATACGTTTGAATGTGTGAATACAATTGTACATGCATACACGTTTCATTGTGTGAATACAATTGTACATGCATATACGTTTGAACTATTCATATATACATCAGAATGTATACGTTTATATTCAAGTACGTATTTAGATTTTTCCAAGGCACTGCATGTCTCTATATACACCAAACCCCAATATACTCGGAAATACATTAGATTGTCAATCCGTATCCGTATATGCGTATCCATATATGTTCTAGGGTCTATCGGAAACTTCTCCATACATGTGTGCCTATTCAAACACATACGTATGCATCAACAATGTGTTTGTTGTGGCACATTCCCCCACATACCCACTTACCTACCCCATCACACCCACATCCACCCCCAACCTCACCCGTCCCCTCACGCCCCCACAGATGGAGTCCTCGGCTGTATGGGAGTGCGCAGCAGTACAAGACGTACTGTCTGCTGGGGGCACGCGACAACACCCTCTCACTCTGGACAGCCTCAGACACTCGCGCCATAGTCGCAGCACGCGATGTGTTCACAGACACAGTGTTGGACCTGGCATGGAGCCCATGCGGCCTGAAGTTGTTTGCCTGCTCGTTGGATGGCAGTGTTGCGGTGATGCAGTTCGGTACGGATGAGCTGGGCGTGCCCATGTCTCTGATTGCGCAGGTGTGTGGGTTGTGTGGACTTGTGGGCTGTGTTTGTGTGTGTGTGGGTTGTGTTTGCTTATGTTCTGTGTGTTTGTTTATACACACACATACACACACACACACACACACATATATATATATATAATATAGC